CTTCTCCTTCCCACCTCTGATTCTTCCTCATTTTCCCTGTCTCACCATCCCAGGAAACACTGCAGGCTAAAGATGACAGCCATCCTTCAGAGAAAGTGGTTCATAGGCCGTCAGTTAAAGAACTCAGCAATTCAACCTACATGTACATTACTCTAAAATCATTATAGGATTAGAATTAAACGGACACACACACACAATGAATCTTCACAATATGGAGTGAATATTTCAAAGGACTATGATGCACATCTTGGCACTCTAGTCAGAGAACCACGATACACTCACTGCATGTGAGTGGCATGCACAGCCCGCGACATACCTTCTAGTCCCAGAAATTCAAGTCTGAGAAAACCTCACAGGAGGCTGAACCAGGCTTAGGCCCATTATGCCCTCGGTTTGGCTAGATCTTGGTTGAGTTAAACCTAGGTGAGCTGTTTTTACTTTGCAAATCTCTAAATGGTTCAGGCTCAGCTTACTGGAATTTCTCCTAGTTCATGCATAAATCTCTAGCAAAGTTATGACAAAAGACATCAAGGAGCTCTTGGCGTCACCAGTAATCTAGGTCTAAGGAGACAGCGGAGATAAAATGGGATGTGGTGGTGAGATCTCAAAGGTCTCTGGAAACCAATGCGTCTGATGCTGTCTGATCGAGCTCAAACTGAAGAGGTAAATCCTGCATTGCTGTCAAGTATTCAATGCTCCTCAAACTTATTTGGAAAACTTGGTAAATGACTTATTTAACCGCAAGACAATTACCTCGAGAGCAAACATCCTGTCCATCATGCTTCTCGATGAGGTGGCGTCGGCAACGATATGAACCTCAATACCTCGGCCGACGAGCTCCAGGGCCGTTTGTTGGATGCACACGTGAGTCTAGAAGGAAGGTAAGAAATCATACGTAATAACGCGGTGAATGTAAAGTATTTTGCAAATGTGCAACTATGGCAGGTCTAATGACCTGTCCTAACCTCGTTTTGCCTCTAACCCGCTAGGTAACCTTGAGCATAAACAGCATCTCTGGTTTAGTTTTCCCTTTCTAACGTCAGGAACTGGATTACTTCAGCGTTCCTGATTCTGGGATCCTTGACCATGTTCTTAGAGCTCTGTGAGGGTTTGTTAAAACGTTTTCCTCTCTGTCACCTGGATGACCTTCCAACAGCTGATGCTACCACCCAGTTTTGATGCCACTCACAATTGGGTTTATTTCTGAATTCACACCACACGCCTAATACAAAGAATGAGTCTGCAGTACCGCAGACTGAGAATGTAATGGGAAAACTGAGTTGTTACAAGGCGCCCAGCAGTCCAGGTAGGCCAGGTTAAAAATAACTCGTGACACAGGCAAAAAATACCCAGTGTCCCAGCACATGTATTATACAGGTTTCATCTTTCCAAGTACTAACTTGTAACACATGGTTAGCGGAAAACATAAAGTAAAAACATGCTCCAACAATAGCTGGATTATACAATGAATGAAAGCAGATCCCAATAATGCCATGATGCCAATCGTATCTTATACGACAAGAGAATTTTGGAGAATTATCAACTGATAGCTCAGCTCACTGCAATTAGCACTGGGGGCTGACTGCTCAAAGATCATCTTCATTAGGCACGAGGTCTAATGATGATGAACGAGCAGAAAAAAGTGCAAAAGTCAGCAACAGCATTTGGTGTGCCATTTATACAAAAAGGCTTCCTCTATATTGTCTTAAGATATTTAAACGTACATCGAAACCTGAGACTACATCTTTCTACTGTTAAAACCTACTACTTTAAGGTTTTAGTAGTATAATCCTATTCTCAAAACATCATAAGTACATTAAATTAATAGCTTTTGGTTTTCACTGTTTTTAAATTTAGTTCAATAGTTGTTGAAAAGCTATAAGTAAACACTTATATTCTATTTGTACATGTCCAAGAAAAACAAATCAAACAAAAAAATCATTTTAATCAGCATTAGGAATCCACGAATATTTTTTTCCTTTAAAAAGGTATGTACATGGTTTGAAATGTGAATGACCATGAACTACATGACTTCTAAGGTTTTTCTAGAGCAAAATTATGACCCAAGGTGAAATCCCACAACACAAAAATAATGCCTTTAGTAAAATTGTGTTCCAAAAGTAGTGGTTAAAAGTAAAAGCCCAAGAATTTATCAACCTAGATAGCAATCCCGCTCCATCCCTTAATGTTATACAGCATCTGTGTTTTAGTTTCCTTGTCTATAAGATGGGGAGGACTCAGCGTAGAGGGTTGCTATGAGAGTTTAATGAATTAACATTATAAAGTGTTTAGATTACTGCCGTGCAAATAGTCAACACTTAATAAACGGTGGCTATTTTTCACTAGGATTACCACCTACATGGTATTCTATATACAAAAATGCATTCCGGAATCAAGTTTCCTACAAATGAGATTATGTCCACAACATAACAAAAGGTACTTACTTCTACTCCAAATAACACAACACTTCTGACTCCAGGAATCTCTGCTAACGCCGCTTCCACCTCTGGTAACACCATGGAAAACTTGGTTTTTGGAAGCACTAGTTTCACACCCGTTAAGTCGATTTCTTGAACAGTGCTTCCAAGACCTTTGGGGTACTGCTCTGTTACAATAACCGGAATTCCTAAAATCCGGGCCCCTTGCAACTGGAAAGAAAACCACACACACAAACGAAAACCCCGCAAAGATAATTAGTAACATACATATATATATATATATTTTTTAGGGGCCCGATGCACAAAATTCATGCACTGGGTGTGTGTGTGGGGGAGAGTGTCCCTCAGCCCAGCCTGCCCCCTCTCACATACTGGGAGCCCTCAGGCGTTGACCTCCATCACCCTCCAATCGCAGGCCTGGGCAGGGGACCCTCATTTCCCCCCATCACTGGTTCTGCCCCCAGCCCAGGCCTGATGCCTCTGGCCCAGGCGTCAGGCCCGGGCAGGGGGCCCCCAG